GAAAAGTAACAAGAGAAGATCTCGTAGTGCTTCATAGACTTCATATCCTATGACAAGTAGTCGAAAGGGGTACCGAAGACCGACTGTAAATTAGCTCTAACATGTAATAAAACTTTAGTAGTCACATAAATACTTCAGTCTTTAACGAGAAAAAAAGAAGTGATTATACAATCTACTTTTCCTGTTGTACAAATACATGTGGCATTAAAATTGAAACACACTCTATCAAGCGCTATCTGATGATGGCCAGGGCAATGTAGTTTAGAGACAAGTAGACTCTCTAGGCGAGCGTTACTCGTTTTGTAAGTTGGATCTTGTTCTAAATGTCTGATTATAAATAAATAAGCAACATGTGAATATATTTATGTGTCAATGAGCTGAAAAGATGAATTTCTAATCTTGACCTAGACAGATATATATTTCTCAAAGAAAAGCATTCAACACAAATTAGACGACACGTCGAAATAAGTATTTTTATTCTTAATCATATTTTGAGTCGAATCACGTATATTTCTGAATAAATCTACTTGGGCTCAAATGAATGTTTTCTTATTCTTTACAGTCTCTAAAGAGTTTGAGAGGGTAAAATAAGATGAATTAGTGTGTCAATAAGGATTTGCAGAATAGGACAAGATATGTAGTTGGAAACTTCTCCTTGTAGAAAACACGGAACTCGTTTTATCGTGCATACATGTAACTGTTAGTTATATTTGTAGTCTTGTGTATCATTCTATCACACTTTTTATTGCATATACTTTAATCTAACATGTTTTGCAAACATTTTGTTTGTAACGGATATTGTTAAGAGACGGAGATATATCCGTTACCGCTGCAACATTTTATTTCTTTTTTTGTTATAACACGATAACGAACTGCTCGGACAGAGAAAACATTAAAAAAACGATGGAATACTCGTAGACATTTTAAGGAAAATAAAATTCAGAAAAGCGCACATTTTTACGATTTTCATCTCCGTTACCTTGTCTACTGTGATAAACACATCGACAATCTGTGCTTAACGCATTTTTACGCGGTAAAAGATACAAAACAACGTGTGAACTCACGCTAAATTCCACGTTTCAACGAGTAAGTACGGAGAAGATTCTACAAGGGGGGAAAAGCGGATTTCACCTATCCTGGATACGGTTATAATCCAGAGGATACGATTATAATCCAAAGGATATATGTAAAACTAAGAATATAAAATTTACACAATAAAAATCATGGAAGTAATGGCAGATTACTTTTGGTGAACGTCTTCCATTGATATTAAAGGGTTTGAAGTGCTTCTTATTTATATTTTTTGTAGCTAACTACGTCGTCATGTGCAACATGATGAATTTAAATTAAAAAGAACTATTAAAATATTATAATAACTAATTGTTCATTTTCTGACGTTTAATCTATGTATGCGCAAAATATTCCGACGAGTCAAATGAAACAGAACGAAAAAAGCATAATAAATTTCTATTTCTCTGTTTCACTCATAACCTCTTTCTTTACACATCATCTCATCACGTTTGTACTATATTCGTATTGCGATTCTTATTGTACAATGCCACCACTCAAAATGAACATGGATATTACAGTTCTTCCTCCAGATGTGCTATCCATTATAGAATGAACTTTTCTACGAATTAGTTCGTAAATTAGCTGGTGCTATTGAAGCTAAATTACTTCAAGTACAAGGTGTTCGCAGTGCCTATTCATTGATGCATATTGAAGATGTTTTTGATGTATTAAAGTATGAATGTAACAAATTGGATAAAATTTAAAAAAATGCTTGCCTTATGTTGGATAATAATCGATTCATTGTTAAACCTAGATGTAAAAGTAATTTACGATACTTTACTCAATTACTCAATATAAAACATCAACAACGTTTGAAAACAATTGAACTTCGAATGAAATCAAAGTATACATTAAATGATGTTGATAATAGTAATACATCTACATCACAATCATCAACACAAGTTCTACTTGTTTTTTCACCAACATCACAAAATACAACAGCAACAACAATAACATCTAAGTATATGAAATCGTCTAGTACAACTAGAGGTGTAAGCCGGTAGGGTCATCGGCGGCGGCGCAAAGTTTTAAATTTTTTTTTTAAATGTTCGGCGGCGCGACTGTGACATTCTAAGATCGCCAGCTGGCGGCGGCTCGAAAATTTTGAAATTTCGAATGCCATCGGCGGCGCGGCGGCTTGAAGGTTAAAAATATATTATATTCTTATGAGAAAATAAAAACTTGTCCATATTAATATCTAATCGTTTATATTTTCAAACAAATATTTGTAGAAACTTCATTTTACATCTCAATATAATGAAGTACATAACTAATATTAAGTTGAACAATAAATAAAAATGTAGAAGTTCATCAAAAATGTACATGAGTAGAAAAAAATGTGCGAAAAAATCAACAAAATCTTAAGTGTCGGCTGGCGGCGGCTTTTAATTTTTATAGTTCACCGGGGGCGACGGCAGCTCAGCCGCACGGCTTACAGCTCTAAGTACAACAGATTATTCTATTTCAATTACATAGATTTTAAGCAGTTACTATTTTTCAAAGATTTTAAAAGAAAAGTTACTTTTTTCAATCGAAAACTCGAAAACAATCTCAATAATTATTTTGTATTATTTTTATGATAAGAATTATAATGCATATTATCTGCCATGTGTTTCTTGTGATAAGTAACATTTTTGGGAATTGCATAAAATATTATTTTGTATTTATTTTACAACTATATTATCTATTAGATTTAAACGTTTTTTTTCATAAGGAATATGTAACAGAAATTATGAATAGTATAATAGAAAGCGTCTTTAATGGAAGTACTCATGAACAAATCAATCATAAATAATACAGATTAAGAAGTGTTGCGATAAATTATCAGTTCTAATCTATAATATGAATGTTGAAAACTGATTAATTGAGCATGAGACTAAGAAACTAACTAAGCATTAGCAGATATATACTGTGTAACTTAGTGGTTTGCAATAAATATCCATAACTCTGTATTGTGCACAGTATAGCCTTATTAAATCAATTTATTTTGATACACAATTTAATATGGAAAAAATATATAATTTTACATAAGGAAGATCTGTGAAAACAATTAATATGACGAACACACCTAATACTTAATCGTAGTGTAAAAAATAATTGAGCCGGAAAAATCTTCGAAACCAAATAACAAACTAAAATAATGCTTCGTTTTTGTAGAATATCGATCACTCACAATTTATTTATTGAAAACAACGAAGAAAAGAATAAGTTTTTAATAAATAATAAATTGTTTTATTTTAAATACATGACGCATAATGGATTATATAATTACCAGATTCATAATTTTCTATTATGAGCAACATTTTGTACTATCATATTATACATGTTGTGTACCTTACTAATAATAAGTTTTCATGTTTTGTAAAGCTTTATTTCTATGATTTTTTAAAGATAAAGTCTTATTTTATGACGATAAATAAAGAAGTGTTTATGCTTCTTCATTAATGATGAAGTTTGCTTTGTTTCTATGTGATACAGTTAGGACACAATTAGATATGTATTGAAAACAGTAAAATATAAGAAAAAAACATTATTTTGCGAAAGTGTCGTTGGCTGCAGTTAACTGATGTAGAAAAACTTCTCACTGACTGTCAAGACGATACGAAAAATGCATTCTTTATCACAAAGGCTGCTTATCATTCAATCGAAATAAACGCTCACACGTTACTTTCAATCGTTCTTCTTGTTTGTCAATATGATTTCCCTGAATTTGCTCTGTCTATATCAAGTTTTAATTCACAGACTTGTGAAAATATATCCAGATTAACACCATCTATGTCTGGTACTTTCTCATCTAATGTAAATTTTACAGTCGCTCAATTTCTACGACGTGCTGGTAAACTTTCAGTTTTGCAAGATATTGAAAGACAACATGTGCATGATGAATCTGGATGTTCTTTAGAATTACCAAAACATCATAAACGACGTCACAAAAAAGCCGCATCACTAAATAATCATTCACAAGATTTTACTGATAGTTTAATACAAAATACTGTTCAAAATACTATCTTTCATGCCTTTGATGATGCCTACAAAATGTTATTTGTATTTGATATTGATAAAACTTTAAAAGAGTCACACAAAAGTACTTTGAATGAAATAAGTACATTTGTTCGAGTTCAAATCGAACGGAAATCTCATACTACTGATTATAGCGAGAATTGGGACGAATATTCAGATGAAGAATCCGATTCTGAACAGGTAAATACGTCTGATGATTGTTATGTAAGTACAGAAAGTTCTGCCGAAGATGCAACGAAAGAGTTGCTTTCTAATTCTAATCGAGAAACATCAGAGTTTAAAGGAATAAGAATTTTTAATGAAATTTCTAGTTCACAAATCAATTCATATTTTCGTAGTAAACACGATGGAAAGAAAAAGTTTATGCACAAGCAAACTGCTTGCTGGCTCCTTACCGACAATAAACCTACACTTTCAGCTGATCGACTTCATCGTATTCAGTAATCAAAGGACTAGTGTTCTACAAGAGTGTGACACTGAGAATTTGAAGTGTATAATGTATTTGTATATATGATGTGTTTGTGTATGTGATTTGATGGTATGTATGATGTTTGTATGTATGATCTGATGATATTTATGATGTGTTTAGCATCTATGTAAAATGCTGTGTGTATATGAAGTATATAATTGTTGTGTATTAAGATGAGCATAATGTGTTGTGTGTGTAGTATACATTTGAATGTGATGTGTCAATTATGTATATGATACATAGCGTATGAGTGTGTCATGAGAAATTACAAAAAAATCATTATTTGTCTTGAGATTTAATTACATAACATCTATAAATATAATATGTAGAGTACATTTTTATTTTATTTCTATAGTATAAAATGAAAAATGGAAATTTCTCGTCTGAATACGACCAATTTCGACCAAAATAAGAAGAACATGATGACTTAAAACTAGACAAGAACATGAAACTTGAGGTTGTAATTTCAGAAATTTGAAAACTGGGCAAATATGAACTTAATAACAACATAAACTTACTTTTAATTCATAATAAATCAATAAATCAATAAAAATTAAAATAATATACTGAATAGCATAATGCTATTAATAATGAAATCAATAATAGTTGATATAAATTCATCACAAAAATAATAACAATAATTGATTTATTCCTAGTACCGGTTTAACATAAACATATCACTCAAAGTTGAGTTCTACTTGTTTTACATCATCATGTTCCTATTATTTTGGTTCAAAATAGTTGTGTAAAGACTGAAAATCGTTGTTTTGTTATTCATATTATAGAAAAAAAATTTCTACATTTGATACTTATACATGTGGTGGAAAAATAATATTATGATACTTTTTTTTGTTGATTTCTAACTTATTGTTAATAAAATGAAAATGAATGAACTTACTCTGCTCGACATAGTGGTCCTGACATCCATCTGACTGGTAACATGTTATGATTTCTGATGTCAACAGTAGAATATTCTTTATATATTTATTTTAACTTGGAAATTCAAATGCTTATAATGTAGATTCAGATGAGGCTAGTTCGTTATTTAGAGTATGTAGTATACAAAGAAAATACATAGTTCTTGAAAGAAATGCTGAGAACGAAATGAAAGTATAAAAAAGATCTGTTGAGGATACGGAGGATCCATTGGCGATCCAGAGGATACAGAAGATCTATTGGGGATGCGAAGGATACGAAGGATGCCGAGATCCCACAATCCGCTTTTTCCCCCTTGAGATTTTAACACAGTAGAACGCTTTCTGGAAAACTGCGTAGGAATGCTTTAAGAATCCCTGAAAACGACGTTTTTACGATGGCCTACCGTTTCAACGTTGTATTTACACTGTATGAACGCGTTTTCTTAGAGATTATGGCTACCAAGGTGGTGGAGTAGTGTTACCGCTATCCTCGGTATGGGATGTTTACCACACTACTCCGCAATCCATTTGTCCTTATTCTTTTCTTTTACACATACTTATATAGTAGATACAATAAGTTACTCGCTACGCTTGAGAAATGAAGAAAACAGAAGAGGATACGAATATGCACGATAACGATTGAGGTTATAATACAAGGAGATGAGAAAGATATTACAATACAAAACGAAAGCAATATCCCTTCATTGACGATTGTTCTATCACACAAAGATGATATCATACATGAATTATATGTTGTAAGGACATTGTGCCTATCAGCACATTGTTAAAATCGTGGAGTCCTCTTTTTTGATTATTGTATGTGTTGACAAGTATTCAAGAACAATATATGGTGTAACCGAACGGTTTACAAGCAGAGCAAAGCCCTTCGACTGTAGCAAGGGTGTTGTGAGAAAAACAGAAAATGCATTTGTGACAGGCAAAGGGGAACAAACTGATTTTCTGATTTCTTGATTTCTAATTTTATTTTCGTGTTTTCTCATGATTTCCTATAATTTCCTACGATTTCTTGTGATTTCTAGTATAGAAATTAGTAGAGGTTGTGTGTGGGCGCGGGTTTGGATGTGGGTGTGCTAGTGACTGAGTGGCTGTAATTGTCGGTGTGAATACTGTATTCACCTGGCACCCACACCCACACCTCATGTAAAAAAGTTGTAAAAACTATGATTTTTATGAGAAATCCGATGAGAAAATACATAAAAATAATTCAAAATTATAATTATTCGTTAAAAACTATACATAAATCATACTAAATCAGGAAAAAATATGAAAACAAAAATTTAACGATTCTCATGTGTATCGACCAATAAAAACAAGACCTGATAGAATAAAGAGAGTAGACAGACACACAGACAGACAGACAGATAGGCAAACCGTTATAAATCACATAACGATAGAAACTTTGTGAATTGGTCTTCTAGATATGTTTACTGATAATAATGTATTATCTTTTCTTAGATTTTCACCAACTGTTTACTGTTTATTTTAGATTTAAATAAATATCTGATCGATAGATTTCATCATCATCGTCATCCTCTACTGCTGAATCATTTGCTGAATTAAACTTAAATTCTAAATTATTACAGACTCTTGCAGCGTTTATGTTTTATTATAGCTACATTTCTTAAAATTTTTAATTGTATTTTGTGTTCATATGATACTGTATTTGTTTTAAACTATTTCTCAATGAATTGGCTATTGGTAAATAAAACTTAATTTTGTGTTACGAAAATAAAAGACAATATAACAATATATAAGATCTTATGATCAAGTTGTCAATGATCAGCTGCCAAGATCATAATAATGTATACAAAAGATACCAATAATACGTATACAGGTTTTTTAACAACTTGTGTCAAAGATCCAGTTACAGATCTTACTTACAAGATGTTCGACTAGGGCTCTTTTATTCGAGTCTAGAAAACACTTTGTTTTGTTCCATTCATAGGTCTAAAACACGCGTTCCCCATTTCGTTGGTTGTAAGACTAATCAATCAAATATTATGCAAGATTTTCTTTCGCATTACTGGAAACAAGCATGCTCATAGTTGAGTCAACTTAGAAGTTTGCAGTATCCTATTCGGTTTTATTCCTATAAGCTTCTAGCAGTATCTAACTAATAGTGAAAAAAAGTTCTGCTCCAGTTTCATTGGGTAAGGTCACTGTATGTCTTGATGAGTCGAATTCGAACAGGCGAATTAATCAACGAATCATTGCTATTTATCTAGACTGAAGCGAGACTTATGTAAGAATCATTCAAAAGAATTTGTCTGAGAGTGTGCCATAGGTTAAATATTCTAGGTTACAGTTTATAACTACGGAATCAGATGATGATGAAACTTTTAAGAGTCACTCTTTCGTCCATTCGGAAAATGACAACCTGAGTAATCAATCAAACAATCAGGGGTTTTTAAACAAACCCTTAGTATCAGTCAGATTTTGACAGGCAGTGAACTCAATCACGAGAGCATTCACGCGTTTTCTCTGTTGCTGAATTGAATTTTGAAAAGTAGAAATTTCAAATAATAGGGGCTTTGACAAATGTTTTATTGTCTTATTCGATTCGAAGAGGCAGAGAAATCAAGCAATCATATTTGCGGAACGTTGGGTTTTTTATGGATCTCAGTTTTTATAAGGTGAGAAAACTGCAATAAAGAAGTAGCTTCCACTAATAGGAGCCAATTGATCAAGTTCCCTAGCTCGAAAATATCAGTCAGTTAGATAAGTTTAAGAGAGAACTTTTTTATGTAATTCCTCCAGACATTCGCAACCACGAACGCATGAGTTTCTTGAGAGAAACGAAAAACTGAAAGGTAGACTGAGTTAAAGGAAACAATCAGTTTTTCGAAAAGATCATATACAGGATACGACTAACCGTAACTGGTGCCAGTGAACGGCTACTCTGTAAAAAAACAATTTATTACCTTGAACCCTTTATGGTACTAGATTTCGGTACCATTTTCAGAACCTCTTTAGGTTTTAGTAAAAACATATAGAACTTAAAATGGTTTTAGCCAAGATATACGAAACCAAAAAAGGTTTTAGAATTTTTTTCTAGAACTTAAAAAAAGGTTCTGAAAATGGTGCCCAAATCTAGAACCATAAAGGGTTCTAGCTCATCGCTAAAACCTTTTATGGTTCACTATGACACCTTTTTTTTTACAGAGTAGACGTTTGCTGGTAACTAAACTCCGATCAACAATTCTGAGCTTCGGAAAAAATCGGATTTCATCAGTAGTGAATGAAAAGAGGCGGAAAAGGCATCATATCCGGCCATGAACTTTATGGATATTTTCTGATAATTTCCCGCTGTTTCTCTGTAAAAAAAGGCATCACGCTGAACCATAAGAGGTTTTAGATTTGGGTACCATTTTTAGAACCTTTCAGGTTCGAACAAAATCTGGTTTTATCTTGAACCTATTTATTCGTTCTTTTAAAAATGGTTTTAGCCTGTTAGAAGGCCTTTTATTTCAGACGTTTTATCTAGCGTTACTAATTGATTCTACATCTAACGACTTATTTCTATTCTTCGCCTGTTATATCTATCCTAAACCACCTATTTCTATTTTTAATCTAATCCTTAGTTTTATCCTTAGCCTTACTCCTAACTATCCACTTCTATTCTTAACATTAAACTTATCCTTAACTACATAGACCTGTCCTTAATTATATATTTCTATCTTTAATCTTAACTACCTATTTCTGTTCGTAATTTTATCCTTAAGTATATTTTTAATTTTATCATAAATCTTATCCTTATACAGTGGAAAATCATTAGATTATATCCCACTACATTAGACTGTGATCCGATTTTTGTGCTCTTAAATAAAAATAATAATCGATTAAAATCTTGTATATCAAACTATCGTTAGTTTAGGAGATGTCAATCTATTGTCATTTTTATTTCGAAGCAAAAAAGTCCGATTATAATCTGATTTAATAGGATATTATCTGCCATTTTTCATTACGTAACTTTAATTATATGTTTCAAAGGCTCTTTCAATTAACTTTTTGCTTATGTTTACAATTTGATGAACTAT